GCATACAAGCAAGCTGCTGATCTCCATCGTCGCAAGCAAATTTTCAACATCGGTGATCTTATCATGGCTCACTTGGGGAAGAACCGCTTACTCCCTGGTGCTTGTCCGAAGTTACATGATCGCAGAATTGGTCCTTTTCGTATCACCCACCGCATCAATGACAATGCATACATTCTTGACTTGCCGGTTGATGTGCACATTTTATCCACCTTCAATGTGAGTGATCTTTCTATTTTTCATCCACCGGATGCAGCTCCAGTTGAAACTGAGAACTCAGGGTCGAGTTCTTCTCTGGCGGGGGACAACTGATGCAGTGCATTTTAGCTTCTTTGTCATTTTTTCTACCACTTTGTCGTTTGTCTATTTAATGTGACGCCCACTTGTTGTCGTTGGGTTATGTGTTGTTTTTCTTTTCCTTCAAACGCCTGGTCGTTTTGGCTAAGGCTAGGTATTCTGGTCTTCTGCTCGTACGGGAGAAGGCAAACAATTGTAATCCTCCCATTTTGGTGAAAGAACTTTTAGAACTGAGCTCTTACGTTTGGGTTCTCTACTTCTAGAAATCCCATTCGATTCTTTTCCTTAGATCTTCCTTCGTCATGATTGTTTCTAATATCATTTAAGAAAATACAAAACTCTCTGCATTTTTGTTCTTCAACTTTATAAATTACACGGAGGAGAAAAGATTTAAATGGAAAGTTTTTTAATGCGTTAAATGAAAAAATTTAACAAAAAAAAGGAAAGTAAATCTTTTAAGAAACCGTTTTTTAAAAGTAAAGAAATATGGGGTGTAAACATAGGGGTATTTATAGAATTATAAGGGGTTTTAATTTTAAAAAGAAAATAATTAGAATATTTAAATATATTGGGGTGCCATAATCAAATTTTGGGGTGTCATTAAAATTTTCCTAAGCGAAAAATTGTATAAAAACGCCTTTTGAAAAATTATATGCATTTTTATATCAAAAAATATATTCTTTTATTTTCTAAAATGCAAAATTGTGATTAAATATTTTGGATTCAAGAGTTGCGAATATATGTATATTAAATTTAGTAGATCATTTGACTAATCAATTTAATAATTTCTGATATATTGTGGATTTTAAGTACGATCGCAATTAATTTATTTTTTTAATATTACGATCATCATACTTCTAATTCATATGTTTCAGCTACTAAATTTTGACTTTTAATCATATCTTTTTATTTCTTGTTAGAAACTAATGAAGAGCTACTCTTTAGGATGCAATAAAATTTTATGTTCTTAAGTTTTTTTCTCTTAAATTCTTTGTATCCAAATCAGTATATTCATAATTTATGTTATACAAATAACAAAATTTCTATCTAAGTAAGACAATAGATAAAAATAGATATGAGTCTCAAAGACAACATTAAGAATAATAAAACGAGTACAAAATTATTCAAATATTAAACTAAAAATCTCCAAGTTGCATTGTTGGAATATTTTTTTAATAAGGTTGGAATGAATATTGTTGAGATAGAAGGAATGGGAAATCAGGAATGAAAAAGTTGTATTGTTGGAGGTTGTTTTTCTTTTGAGTGGGGAAAAATCTCGGTGTTTAGAGAAAAAATAAGAAATGTCAATATTTCAAATGAAGAAAATTGTCACGCCCCTAAACCGGGATTAGTGACGTGGAGGCTCGTTTAGAAACTTAAACCTGTTTGGGAAAGAGTGATTAGCAAAATAATTTAATTCCTTTCAAATCTAAAACATTCAGGTATTTCCAAACGAGCCCCTGCATTCAAGAGAAATTTAATTTCAAGAACGGTGGTGGAATTTCCAACCAAACCAGTTTTAAAACCACATCACTGGTATCATGTCAGGAATTCCCACAGGGGTTTAGCATACATGAATATAAACATAAGTAAATGTGACATCAACCACAATCTAGCAACATTTAAGTTTACAAACCATAATCTCTTATACATGCCTTGAAATAAAAGATAGAAGGGTTACAACTCTTTGCTTCCCGAGATCAAGTCCACACCACCGGTAATAGCTACCTATTCCACACCACTCCTCGCGTCGCCTGGAGGGGTTTAATACATTTAAAAACAGAAAAAGGTGAGCGAAAGGCCCAGTAGGATATAAATTTTATAAAGCATTTAAAATAAAGGTACTCACGGTCCGAAGATATACATCCAGAACCGATCATCCCTTTTTAGAAAAGGAAATACTCACAATAGAAA